TTCCTGAAAGCATATAAAATCCATCAAAGTCCTATTTTTGTGTATAAATCCTTTCTTGGATCTCACCGTAAGTAACATGTATGAAGCTTCAATTCTAAACCCATGCCAGAGCCAGGATTCAGGTTTCATAGGACAAAAGGAGCTCTCACCCCAAGTGATAAACCCAACAGTGAGCTCTGCTCTCACAGCAATCTGCTGTCTGGCCTGCAGGGAGCAGGTATGAGTACTCGGGGTTTTCGTCAGATCTTGGAGTATGAGGGCTCTGGCAGCGTGAATACTCCCAGTCCCCTGATTTGGGAGGAAGAGGGAAGTGATTAAACAGCATTCACTCCTTCCGACAGAGTTAACATTTGAACCTGTAAGCAGAACTAGTCTTAGAGGTGAATAAATTGTCATCATTATCAAGATCTATTATGATATATTTCTCAGGAGCAGAATATGAGTAATTTTGTCTTTGGCGCCCTGGCCTAAATAGAAGTTGGGTAGTTGTTCTCTTTGTAATTAAATACCTTTCCTCAGTGGAATATGAGCAGATTAGAAGGCACAGGAGAGGGAAGCTGTGACTGAACACATCTCCCAGGGTGAAATAAGGCTGACAGCCTTCTTACTTAGCCATGCTCTCCCATGGTTTTTTTTTGCTTGCAGAGTTAGAGGCTGCCTCACACTACAGCTTTTACTCCTCCTTGGGGACCCCAATAACATTACTCCCTTTTGGCATACTACTGTTTCCGCTGAATGTCCAAATACAGTGGCACCAGCTCACTGTGTGCTTGAGGAAACATGGCTAGAAATTAAGATAAACCCTTATTATCTCTCCCCCCCCCCTCCTCATGAGCTGTGTTCCTATTAAATATTTTTGTTCTGGAGATTGTAAACATAATTAGTTTTAAAAATTCCTAAGAGAGAAAAAAATGCCATATAGCAATTTCAGAAGCTTGAGGTAAGCCCGAATGCGGTACACTGTAACTACTGGAGGTCCACTCCGTCACCTTTCTGGTGACACAATGTGCTAGGCAGCCCCACCCGCTCTGCTGGGCTGTTACACTTTTCCCCACCCCACCGAGTCACCAACAGCGTCATGGAAATGTAGACAGAATATTGTGTACATTGTGTCATCACACTAATTGCGTGTATTGTATTACGGAACACCAGTAGATGTCAGTTTAGCCCAAAAAATGAATGCATGCTAGATTTATTAGCTTTCACTTTTACAACAGTAACTTTCCACCAAAGAAACTAAAGGAAGTTTAGAAGTTGATGCACATTTAAAAGTATGTTAGCCATATTTTACATACTGTAATATGCCCTCAATATATAAAATAAGTAAACCATAATATCATCTTATTTTTCTCCTGTCTGGAAATCATAGGACTTGCAAACATACAAATCAATCTATTTTTTTTTTTCAGTCATTTTGCGTGTACTGATTTGTTGAGGCTAGAAAATAATTTTTATGACTTTTGATCATTTCAATAGTACTAGATACGTAAGGAGCGTTGTGCAAGAATGCAGTTTCAGACAAGTAATCAATGTACACACATACATTTACAGAGAAGGCAGATACATTAAGTCAAATAATCTGAAAGAATGTTCGTTTCCCCCCACGCACACTGTTGCAATGATTGAGTCAAGTTGCAAAGCAAACAGAACAAGAACTCCAGCATAATTTGAACAGTTAGGACAAGCAAAATACAGCAGGTTAACTTGATGGGGTTAAAAAAAACCCCACAGTGCCATCTAGAAGAGTAACACTTCCAAATACTTAGGAAGAGTTATGTTTAAAGTAATGAACAAAACCAAACCAGAGAAAAAAAATCCCAAATTATCATTTCTACATAATTAACTGCTGCAGGCATCAATTGGTTGAAGAATACATACTTCAAAGTCCCAAGAGCTTGAATTTCCAGATGCGATCAATACTGATGAAGTACAAATTATTTACACTTAAAATGCTGGGTGGTAATCAATCAAAATTCAGCTTCTGCCCATGGGAATGTTCACTGCTTGAGAAAGCAGAGCTTCAATTTTTATTGAAGTAGTATAGCTTTGCACTGATTTTGCTAATTCTAAATCTTTTCTTTGAGCGTCATAGCAAATTTAGCTCACCGATGAGCTAAATTATTTCTCATTTAGTTTTGTGGATCACACTGAAAAAAGTTAACAAAACTGGAGAGGATTTTTTATGTAATTATTTAAGCAAGCCAGAATAATCTCTTCGCCTCTTGTCCCTTTACCCTCCGTTATCAGATAATGTTCTACTAGGTTGTTAGTGCTAAAGAATTTGGATAATTTTTTCTAGGAAGTAAAACAAGTTAAACAAATTTAACTGTACATATTTGTCAAACAGTCAGTATATAGAATGCACAGGTTTTTCTTATGTTTCTCTTTAATTAAATAATACTGATATGAAGATGAGTATTGAATCTCTTTAATTATGGAATGATACAATTTCTTCAAGTCTAGAAAATTATGGTCCCAAATCACTCACTGGATTATGGGGGGGAGTATCAGATGTTAAAGTGCTTTTTAATCAGACAGAAAAGTATAGTAAAAACCTATGTTCAGAGGACAAAGCTGAGAAAATGAAGATTAATGTCTTATTTTCCCATTTCAATAGTTAGGTGATAAGGAAGAGGAACATACTGATTGAAGACTTATGAGAGTCTAGATCTTTTGATTACTTTGAGGCAAACTTGGCTGACTTTCTGGAAAATAGATTTAAGACAATACTAGATCATGACAACTCGTGTGTCACCCACATTGTATGACACGTCCAACTGGTGAGCTAGTAATCCAATCTGGTTTAAGAAATAATGCATCAGTTAAAATAAAAAAAAGAACAACACAACACCACAAAACAGTAGTACAACTTGCTGTTATGTCATTTGATTGCTAGTGACTTTGGTCAAATTTTCCTTCTTTACAATTGACCTGCATTTTAACCAATAATGAAATACACATACCATCAGTGCCAGGAGTGTAAATCAATATTCTCTTCCACAGGACCAAGATACAAATGAAGATGTTCTGCTGCCTCTCCAGCTAACAGCAGCTAACCATCAAGGGAGATTTTTCTCTCTCTGACTAGCCAAGCGACCAGTGACTTGAGCTTTGAGGTTCACACTTCAAGCCTCAAAGCTGAAAGCAAGATAAACATCCGACATTTCAGTGTAAAGTGTACGTTCATGTTGCTGAGACGCACTCCAAGCGCTGGTAATACTTAGCTGTCTTGAGCTGGCCACACAGTTTGTGCGTTTAACTAAGCAGCTCCTTCACAGAAGATGGGAGCATGAAAACAGGAGTTTTGGCTGCCTGAGGAAAGCCTCCCTGTTGGGGGTATTAGTTGCACTGAGGCCCTGGGGCACCAAGGGGAGGGAAGGTATGAACCTCTGAGACTGCCTGCCGACCAACAGGAAAAACAGATACTAGCCATAGCAGCGAACTCCCCCAGCCTTAGTGAGGCACTGTAACTTTATGAAGGTGGTATTTGCATACATACACTTATTCAGTAGCCACAACTCGATTTGCATATCCCTACTCAAGCACCACCAGCACAATTGTTAGCACCCAGTAGAGTAATTATAGCTATCCTGGCTGAGGTTCTGAATGCAAAACAGTCTTGGTAGAATATAGAGTCCCCTTAACTAATTCTGTGGTGTTTTATATAATGCTTTAATGCTTGGCAATCCAGGTGGTTTTTGATTGGGCAGAAAAAAGATCGTTTCATTGACTTTTCTTTTTAAATTTCTTCTCATTTAGGTTGG